CGGTAGAAGGGGCCGTCGGTCCATCAGCAACCTACAAAAGAATAAGTCAGCTTAGTATATGAAAATATATATTTGTAACGTAGGTGTTAAGTAAAAAAAAATTCTTACCATGGTCTCGTCGGGCTCCTGAATATAAGCATCCGTCGCATCCTGCTCAGCATCGTACAAAGTGGCCTCCGTGACGGGCTGGGATGAAGCCTTAATAAGAAAATTATAAAGTTATTTATTGCGAATCAATGAGATAAAAACATATTTAAATTTAATAGTAATACAAACATACCTGCTCCTGTGAAAGATCCACACCACCCGTCGACGATGAGCCATAACTCAGCCAGCGCCCACTATCCACATCTCGGGTCGGCCGATCCTCAGCAGCAGTCGATGGGCCTGAAAACATCTGCTCTCAATCATGTCCGGTAATGCTCGTGCCTGTGATCAACAATGGATCTGAGGGATCACCTGTGGTGCGGCTGGAGTGAACGCCAGCTGAAGGCTGTACGACTGCATGCTGCTGGGATGCTCGTCTGGCTGATAGAGGTCACCCGGCAGATCAGCTCCAACATCATCATCAGGTGTCTGAATAGGTGCCTCAACGCCCCCTTGCTGCGGACCACCTCCTCGCCGGCCCCCACGACCCCGTAGGACAGCCCTGCCTCGTGGGGCACCCCTGTCTCGTGGGACAGCCCTGCCTCATCGTCCCCTAGCTCGTGGGACAGGCCTACCTCGATGGTAGTGCTCTGGCCCCACATAAGTAGGGACGTGCTCTAAGCACTCGTCCTCTCTAGCTCGATGCAGTGTCCGGGCAGCCAGCTTTGTAACCTGCCGGCCTAACTCCTACAAAGCGACCGCAGGATTGCCAACGTGTTGCTGCATCTGCAGTCCCAACTGGTGGACTAAATGTAGGCCAATAGCCTGCATATCATGTAAAATATAAATTACGGAACGCTAGATCACGTTTATAAGTAAGAATACCAAATAACATATCAGTGCCTTGTGCCTCCCGGCGTATGGAACGTACCGACCGCCAGCTTGATGAATGGGATTCCCGACGATAAGTCGGGTAACGCCGCGGTACCAACCCATGTAATCATGCTCAGTATCTAGCCGACTCGGTGAAGGGGGCGGAATCAGGTCAGATCGCTGGTCCCAAGTAAATATCTGTTCCTGTAGCCATGCTAAAAATGCGTCGTCCACCCTGGTACGATCATCCCGCTGGTAGTGTGTGGTCTCCCAGGTGGGCGGCGTCGGTACGAGCTGCAGACGGCCAAACTGGCGAAGTACCCACTCGGTGGCATGATGTTCCACAATATCAAGGCAGAACAACGGGACGAAAAAGGCCCACATAAGTCGGTCGGCCGAGCAATAACAGGGCAAGCCAGTTATCAACTCGTCGATGTATGGTGTCTAGATGAACTATTAAGTAAGAACAGAAAACGTCAGTATACGCAACTTGTGTTTAGAGTGTATTACAAGTAAACTTAGATATATATTTACCTGTGCGCCATCCAGCAAATCCAATATATCCCTCAACAAGGAGAGATTATGCCAAGCCTCGTACTCGCGCATATATCCCCGCCGGAGAACCCACCTCCTAGCTAGAGGGAGCAACTCCAGTGGTACATCCGGATCTAATGGTGGTAGAGGTGGCTGCAACTGCAGGAACCACTCCCATGCCCAAACCTAACATAAGAAGTTGACGTAAAATTTAAGATATATTTTTACTAGGTATGTTAAAATGAATAGAGTATTCGAATATGTTGTCACCTGTAGTAGCAGCAAAAATCCAGTAACGTCACTCTAGGTGCCCATGCTCGCCCGGCACATATGCCTGTATAAGTTGGCGAGAACAGCAGAGCCCCAGCTGTACTGGGGTAAATGATCTAGCCGCTCAAGATGATGAAGAAATCTCAAGATGACTAGGTTCCTCGAAGTGTTCGGGAACAAGACCCCTCCAAACATAAGGAGTAGCAGCAACCTCGTATACCGGTCAACATGATAATCTGGTGTATCGCCATCGATCTCAGGATGCAGTGCCTCTAACCACTGTTGAATAGTCGTCAACGGAAAATGACTAGTCCCATGCAGTACATTCTCATCCTCTGGCTGGAAAGTAGTGAGTCGCTGCAGCATGTCCAGGTACTGCACACGTGTCATCTCTCTCATGCCAGGCGGGAGAGCAACGGGCAGCCCATATAAAACCTCCATGTCCTGCAGTGTGATGGTGGCCTCACCAATGGGTAGGTGAAATGTGTGCGTCTCCGGTCGCCACCGCTCTATCAGGGCCGTGACCAAAGACCAATCGAGCTACAACCGCCCGATCTCCAAAATCCTGTAGAAACCCGTCTCCCGCAAGCGTGTGACTACACGATCATGGAGAACTCTGTCATGCAGAAAGACCCACATGTCGTCCACTCTCCTGGCGCGGAGAGTCTAGGTCAGTAACTCACCCTCCCATATGTGGTAGGACTTATGATCGCCCTATAACGAGAGTACCTCATCGCTGGAAGGTCCAGGATGAATAGGCGGCACCTCCATGTCGTCTACTGTAAATTAAACAACATTAATTACATGTTAGTTTTATAATTTTATATGTTTGTTTGTAAATTAAATAATTAAATTTTATAATTATACAATATTTAATATTAAAAATTCACATATGGGTTCCAGGCTCGATATTTGCGGCCCAGTAGCACCAACATATCCTGAATTCTTGTATGTATTAGTTTTATTATAATTTTATATGTTACTTTATAAATTAAATAATTAATTTTTATAAATAAATATTCACATCTGAGTTCTAGGCTCGATATTTGGAGCCTAGTAGCACCAATTTATCATGAATTCTTCTATGTGTTAGTTTTATAATTATATATGTTAGTTTGTAAATTAAATAATAAATTTTTATAAATAAATATTCACATATGGGTTCCAGGCTTGATATTTTAGAGCCCAGTAGCACCAATTTATCATGATTTCTTCTATGTGTTAGTTTTATTATTTTACATGTTAGTTAATAAATTAAATAATTATTTTTTATAATTAAATATTAATATATGGGTTCCAGGCTCCATAATTGTGGCCCAGTAGCACCAAGATATCCTGAATTTCTTGTATGTGTTAGTTTTATTATAATTTTATATGTTAGTTTGTACATTAAATAATTAATTTTTATTATTAAATATTCACATAAGGGTTCCAGGCTCAATATTTGGAGCCCACTAGCACCAATTTATCCTGAATTCTTCTATTTGTTAGTTTTATTATTTTACATGTTAGTTTTATAATTTTATATGTTTGTTTGTAAATTAAATAATTAAATTTTATAATCATACAATATTTAATTAATAAATATTCATATATGGGTTTCAGGCTCGATATTTGCGGCCCAGTAGCACCAATTATATGTTGATTATAATTGGACAGAGTATGTATTTGATCTATCAGTTATTTTGACGTATTTTTGAGTATAAGAGATACTTAAACTACAGGGAAACTACGCTAAAAGGCACTACATTTTACTACGCTAAAAGGCACTACATTATACTACGCTAAAAGGCACTACATTATACTACGCTAAAAGGCACTACATGTTACTACGCTAAAAGGCATTACATTTTACTACCTTAAAAAGGCACTATACTACTAGTCTTTAAGCAAATAAAATATTTATACCAGATAAAACACAACAAATATGTTATAATTACAAAACATTCACAAAAATACATATAAAACAGTAATACTAATTTATTAACAAATAATAACGCTAATTTTTACATTATTTTTTTACAACATTAATATCTTTCCAGATAAAAATAACATACCAATTTAATCGCAAAAAAAAACACAAAACAACATACAACACATTCAAAATAACTAATATGCATTATTTATACGAGTATGGACATAAACTAAATCGGAATACCTCGATTTATGTTTTTCGTAAAGTTGAAGATTTGAAAATTTGACTCCGAAACAATAACCCACAACAATAGAAGGCTTGGCTAGGATGTGGGACCAACTTTGATTAGTTTTTGTGGGACGAATGGGGTCCACTCGAGTTTTTTATCGAGTTAATGGGGGGGGGGGGGACCGCTGCTTCGTTTTTTAAAAATGGAGCCTGAGTTCTGTTTAAAACGTGGGAAAGGGAAGGGACGAGTACTTATATATATAAAGCGCGGTATGTTACTGCGTTTTTTATAAAACACATTAATGAACCGCGTTTTATATAGCTGTCTTATCAGCTTCCAATAAAGCGCGGTATTTATGTGTGTTTTATATAAAACGCAGACGTTATAAAATGCGGTTTATAACCGCGTTTTATATAGAATGGTAACTTTTTTCTTCAGGTAAAAAAGTATTTTTGAGTCCAAAAGAACAGTATTTTGGTTCTGGAGAAATTCAAAAATAGCCAGATTTACAAGCGGTCGTTCAAAAATAACCCAGTTTCAAAAGTAATCGAAACTTTTCCACTTTTCATGTAAAGATAAATCTGAACGAAAACAGTGTTCAAAACCCAGAAAATATGGCAGTATATTATGCTGGAGTTCCAGCATAAGTATACTTAACTCCAACATATTATGCTGGAACTCCAGCATAATATGATGGAATTCCAGCATAACTATACTTGAACTCCAACATATTATACTGGAGTTCGAGGATACGTATGCTGGAACTCCAGCATAATATGATGGAGTTCCAACATAAGTACACTAGAACTCCGGCATAATATACTGGAGTTCCAGCAAAGTATACCGGTCCAGTATAATATGCTGGAAGTTCATACACAAGTGTTCGAATCTCCAGTGTATTATGCTGGAACTTTTTGTGTGTTGGAGTATGCTGGAAGTTAATACACAGGTGCACCGAACTCCAGTATATTATGCTGGACCAGTCTTTGTTGCAGCAAAATAGTGGCTATTTTTTATTGACTTGATAAACGCTCGTTATTTTTTGAATGACCAGTCCGAAAACTAGCTAGACCGTGCTATTTTTACTAGAATAATCTACTCAAAACCATAGAGATATCACAAAGCAGTAAGTGGCAATGGAACTTTCCTCAAACTCGAGCTGGAATTTTCAAGGAAAAGAAGATGCAAAGAAAGCATCAGCTTGCACTATCAGAAGTTATCTCAACACCTTAAATGAAAACATCAATAGAAGTGATACAAGAACTGTAATCCCTCTTAGCCATGGCGATCCCAGTGGTTTTCCAAGTTTTCGAACAACTAAAGTATCAGAGGACGCTCTTGTTGATGCACTCCAATCTGGTAAATACAATGGCTATGCCCCAAATTCTACTGTTCTTCAAGCCAGGAGGTAACTCTCTCAACTCTCCCAGATTTCTCCATTTTCTTTCTCCTAACTTTATCTTCAATTGTTCTTCTTTTGGGAGTTTATTTTAATTAAAGTTCTGACCATTTTTTGGGATAGATTTAAGTGATATAAACAGACAGTGTAACTGGTAAAAAATTATTGCCATCTGACCGCGAGGTCACGAGTTAGAGTCATATAAACAACCTCTTGCAATTTTCCATGGTCGAATTCTTTACGCCCATTGTGGTCTGGCCCTTCTCCAAACCCCCTTATGCCCTTTTAAACAGACTGTCTAAAGATTTTTTTATTTTTTTTACCCCTTATAACATTATAGTTATCCATTTTACCAGGTTGCTATTTAATAATCATCATAGAGATTTACTTATAATTATCTTACAGATGACCTGATTTTGTTACAACATTGGTAGATTGTTTTTTTTTTTTTTTTGTTTAATTACATTGGAGGTAGGGGTGGGAAATTGGGAAGGGGAATAATACATGACGGGAAATCGAACCCTCACCAACAAGGTGAAAATTCAGGTAGCAAACCAATTGAGTTACTAAGATTCTCCACGTTAGTAGATAGAACTTAAACTCTTTGTCAAAATGTAATTGTACTGCAGAAGGCCAAGAACTAGTCTTAGTAATATTGATGTTTCAAATATTTACCAGGTCAATTGCAGAATTTCTGTCTCGTGACTATCCATACGAATTGTCACTGTATGATGTTCATGTCACAGCTGGTGCTAAGCAAGCAATAGAAGTCCTAATTACAGCTCTTGCCGTACCTGGTGCTAATATTTTGCTTCCTAGACCAGGATATCCAACATATGAAGCTCTTTCCACATTTAGCCGTCTCGAAGTGCGGTACTATAATCTTCTCTCTGAGCAGGATTGGGAGGTTGACATCGATGGGCTTGAAGCTCTAGCCGATGATCGTACTGTTGCCATGGTTTTTATAAACCCTGGTAATCCGTGTGGGAATGTGTACAAGCGTGAACATTTAAAGAAGGTCGTGTCATCGTTGTATTAGAATGTGGTTGTTTTGTTTAAAGTGTTGATTTAATTAGGTTTGCTTATTAATTGTTGATTTCTTAAATGGGAGTAACAGATTGCAGAAACTGCGAAAAGGCTTGGAATGCTAGTAATATCAGATGAAGCCTATGGTCATCTAGTTTTTGGTAGTAGTTCGTTTGTGGCGATGGGAGTCTTCGGAGAAATTGTACCTATACTGACAATTGGCTCCATATCAAAGAGATGGATGGTTCCTGGTTGGCGAGTTGGTTGGATCGTGATGTGTGATCGCAATGGCATCCTTCAAAAACATGGGGTTCTCTCTCTCTCTCTCTCTCTCTCTCTCTCTCTCTCTATAAAGCGAAAAACACAATGAAATTTTGATGGGAAAAATTATGTTTTACATTTTTCTTTCTTTTGTTAAAGGAAAAATATGAATGAGGGACAAAATAACAAAGATTGGTTTTCCAGTCATACATGTCGTTTACACCCTAAACCACATATAAGGCTTGCATATATTAACTTGCACTTGGCCCCATTAGTAGCAATTCTACTTGCTCCTAAGGGTGTTATATTTACACTCCACACATGCAGAAATCTATATGCAGAAATAAGAATCTTACTTTTCTTCTTCTGATCTCAGGTTGTGGAGTCCATCAAAAGCTGCCTTGAAATCTCTGCTGATCCTTCTACACTCACTATGGTATGTTATACAAGCACTTATTCGAAAGGTTTGATATAGTGTGCAACTAGTGTGGTTGCATTTTTATGCTGTTAAAGTTCTACTCGGAGCTGCAAACTACGGTTACATTTTTTTTTTGATAAGTTGATAACAAGATGCATGATCTACAAATGTGATAAAAGCATCCTTTATTCAAGTTTGTCGAAACATGCTTGTCATTATGATACCTGGCCTAAAGTTTTGTATTGAATAGGAATGCATAGCGTCGGCTACTTGGGATGATCAGTAAATGATGATTGGTTTATTGCATCATTGTCCAAATTATAACAGGCTTAGCTCTTCCGTATTCCGTCTGACATCAGTCAATGTCCTTTTCATGGACAAATACTTTTTTCCATATTTCCGAGTTATCGTGTGTAGTGTTCCTTGTGATTCCATTCAAATCTTTAGTAGAACTGTCTTTGTGTATTTTAAAGTTAAATCTGAATTGGAGTGAAATGGGGATCCTGCACATTATCTTTCATAAAGTATTTTTGTGCTATTTGGATTATCTTTCAAACAAATGAAACTAAATTCAAGTATCTAACCTTGTTCCTTTTCATTCTTGAGGGTGCTATTACTCGTATTCTGGATGAAACACCTGAAGATTTCTACTCTAATACCATAAACCTACTTAGAAAAGCAGCAGGCATTTGCTATGCTGGTCTGACGGAGATTCCATGCTTTACTCCATACAAGCCACAAGGATCCATGTTTCTTATGGTATCGCTATAAACACCCTAGTCCAAATATACGTATTTTTCAGTATTTAGTTGGATAAAGATTCTGAATAGTCTATTTTGCTCATCTCTATCAGGCAAAACTAAACATGTCACTTCTGGAAGGCATCGACAATGATATAGAATTCTGCACCAAGCTTGCCAGAGAGGAATCTGTAATAGTTCTACCTGGTAAGTTGTTCTGTTGCATCACTATTGACAACATTAAAGATGTAGAACTTCAGGCAGGTGTATTTTTGCATGTTCATAAATATTAACGTATTGCAGGGGAAGCACTTGGATTGAAGAATTGGGTAAGAGTAACTTTTGCTGTGGAAATTTCAGCTCTTGAGGAAGGCCTTGGCAGGATCAAAGCCTTCTGTTCCAGAAATTCCAAACAGCAATAAGCCAACAATTTGTCACATTGACAAACTGTTCCAAGTCTGCCAAAAACCAAATAATAAGAGTTGCAGATGTTGCTATGGGACTTGATAATTGGCTCCTAATAACTGTTGCAGTTAAGCCATCAGAGGTCGATGCTGGTCTTTACGGGATAAAAGCGTTCTGTCAAAGGCAAGCCATGGAGAAAAAGCAAGTAGATTTAATCTAATAAGCGAGTGAAATGTGGTGATCTGAAGCTGCTCATTGAACCTCACGGTCAATCATTGAAGGAAATGTGATATAGTACTACAATCTCTCGTTCCCTTAGGTTGTTATTGATAATAGTACAATATCAAGCTGGGTTGTATCCCCAACTTCATGGCTGGCTATATGCTCTTACTGCTTGTAAGACTGCCTTAAAGTAGAAAAAGTGCTTGTGAAATGTATAACTGTCTTCACTGTCCAATGTTATTGATCGCGTACTGAAACATAATTCATCCAAAATCAGAGGATCTTCTAATCCTGTTAAACGCAGGATATTTTTATATAATACTGGAAACGTCCAGGTTCTCTATGCAGTTAAGTGGTCAAACATGCGATCTACTTTACTTTTTTCTTATAGTTTTTGTTACATGTATGTATATGATCCGCATCAAGAGCAATAGATGCAGTCAGGTTCATTGCTCCTTGCTTGAATTTGTCCATGCCCGCACCAAGAAAGAATGGATAAGGAACCTATGAATCATTTGAATGATGAAAGCATTGTAAATATGGCAGTAATGATCTGGGGACTGAAGAATTGGCTGCAGTTAAAAGCTTTCTGCTTGAGGCATGCTGCTTAAAGACATTGTTTACTATTTCAATAAAATGAATGTGAATAGAATAGTAGGACTGAACCGCAAATTATTTTGGCTAACTTCGACTCATTTGGAGATTGAGGCACAGTTGATTGATGACTGAACTAGAATACTATGCTGCCATAAACTGACTTTGGACGGGAACACCTTAAAATATCAAAATATACATAGAATTTTGAAGGTAAAAAATCAGAAATAATTTGATTTACAACTGGTAATTGAAAAATAGCCACAATTTCAAAAGTAATCGAAATCTAAATCACTTTTTCAAAAGTAATCGAAATATACATATTAGCATAATGTGCTAGAATTTCATACTGTGGTGGAGTTCCAACATATTATGCTGGAAGTTTATACGCAGGAGCTCCATAATTCAGCATATTATGCTGGAACTTTTCGTGTTTCAGCTAGGGTATTTTTGTTCAGATTTTATCTTCGCATAAAATAGTGTCTATTTTTCAATTACCAGTCCGAAAACTGGCTAGCCCATGCTATTTCTAAAATTTTGAAGAAAAAAAAATAAAAAAGGGGAAGTTACACCATATACCTATCTACACGGCCTCTTTACAACATATATCCTAAAGCTGAAAATCCTTAAAATAATTACTTCATATAACTTATTGATATCCTAACATTCACGACTATATTCGGATAATATTCCTTAAATGTAGCCATAGCTCATGATAGTGAATTGAATATTACTATTTACCTCTCTCCTATTGAAGCCAATACTCAAGTTTATCATATTCCTAAAAAAACACTTACCTTTTGCACAATACAAACTCTTCAAAGTAAGAAATAAAATAAAAATCCCACAATAAATAGCAACATTCAATTTACAAAATAGATAATATTTAGTTTATATATTTAATACATTTACCTTAATATTCCTAAAATAAAGAGGCATATTCATTTTATATATTGATAATATTTAATTTAAAACTTAGAGTATTCACTACATCTATGATAAAATTCAATAACTATACAATGATATTCAATTTATATGTTATTATTATTATTCCACCCATACATTCAACTTAATTTTCGATTTACGACAAAGTATTCTAATGTGTGTAGTAATATTCAAAACATAATCAGCGATATTCAATTTAGATGTCGATACTATTCAAAACATAATCAGCGATATTCAATCCGTTGTATCTTTTTGTAATGAGGTATTTAATTCTGGGAAATTACCAATTCAGGTTAATGCCACCTACCTGTGCCTAATTCCTAAATTCAAAAACCCTCCAATGATTACGCAATATCGCCCAATTGGACTATGCAACACTATTTACAAATTATAACCAAGCTAATTGTATGTCGCATAAAGCCTATTAATAAAATAATTAGTCCTGAACAATCTGCTTTCCTAAAAGGGCGAAAAGCAGCAGATAATGCCATCATAGTACAAGAAATACTTCAAAATTTTAGGGAAAAGAAAGGCAAAATCGCAAACTTTCTAATCAAACTAGACCTTGAAAAAGCCTTTGATAAAATGGAATGGGGATTTATCAAAGAAACTATTTCCCCCATAAACCCATCTCTATCATTATGTCTTGTATTACTACTACTTCCATCTCAATCCTTATAAACGGCCACCCCTCCCCTTTTTTCTACCCAACAAGGGGCATTAGGCAAGGTGACTCATTATCCCCCTACATCTTCATCTTATGTCTAGAAAGACTATCAAGGCAAATACACCAATTGGTGGATTACCAACAATGGAAAGCTATCAAACTATCACCCAACGGACCCCAAATATCTCATCTACTTTTCGCAGATGATATCACCTTAACATCTAAAATAACTACATCAACTGTGAACACCATCATTGATACCCTCAATATTTTCACTCACAAATCTGGCCAAAGTATAAATTTCCAAAAATCGAAAATCTATTTTTCTAAGAACACTTCTCAATCAGACAAACACTTTGTCTTATTATCCTTTAACATGAGGGAGGGTATCCTCTTTGGTAAGTACTTGGGATTTTCATTGTTTGTAAAGAAACCTACTTCAAATGACTTTCCGTACATACTTGATAACTTCAAAGCTAAATTATCAGGGTGGAAATCACAATTTCTTTCCATGGCGGGGAGGTCCACCTTAATAAAATCTGCTTTGAACACATTACCAAACCATGTAATGCAATACATTAAAATACCTTCACAAGTCATCCAGAGAATGAACAGTTACCAAAAAAACTTCCTCTGGGGTACTGCTGAGCATAAAAAAAGAATTCACTTACTAAAATAGGCAGTAGTACAAAGACCTAAAACTCAGGAGGGGGGGGGGGGGGACTAGGCATTCAAAATTTAACAACTAAAAATAACGCTCTATTAGGAAATCTCGCTTGGCGCCTGTTTAAAAACCCTAATTCACTTTGGGAGTCCATACTATTCAACAATTATGCGCATAAAAAATTGGGATCTCAGGCTTCCTCCTCCTGGAAGAATATTTTATCAGGATGGAATCTATGCCAACTAGGATTAGTATGGCATATAGCATGGGGCACACATATAAATATGTGGCATGACCCATGGATAGGACCTAATACTAGTCTACGACAATGGACCTCTAAACTTTCAAGAAACAAACAACACTCTTAGCCACTATATCTCTAATAACGCAATTGACACAACCTCCTTATCCTTAAGTTTAACGGACAACATTATCTCTCAAATAAAAAATATCTTCATACCTAGGTTAACAACCCCATGCTTTCGATACAATTATTTGGGGCCTCACTCCAAATGGCCATTTTACTGTGAAGTCACTTTACAATGCCCTACAAGAACCAACACCACCCTATAATTACTACTGGATATGGAAACTAATCTTACCACAAAAAGTAATTCACTTTCTTTGGTCAGTATCACATCAACGCTTAAAAATATCCTCTTACCTCTATCATATAAATGTTAACCTATCCAATAATTGTACACTTTGCTATCAATCCATTGAAACCATTAATCATCTTCTATTCAATTGCCCGCGCACTAACACCATTTGGTCTCAACTAAGGATTGCCCATATCTTCCAAAATTGTGACACACACATCTTACCACCGATTCAAACCATTCAATACCTAATTAAAAATACAAAAGATCTGCCTTATAACCTGCCATCAACCACTCTTATTCCACACATTGTGTGGCACATCTGGAAATTAAAAAACCAATATATATTCAATCGACAAAGAACTAAAACACCACCCTCGACACAACAATTGCTCTCCCAGACAGCGGAATATTATTACCTTACCAATCATAACACAAAAGCAAAAATAGCTACACATACAGGTACTCAAATGCATATCAAATGGCACCCCCCAGCTGTGGGCACAATTAAGCTTAACACTGATGGAGCAGCCAAGGCAAACAGTTATACCAATGGTATTGGGGAATATTCCGTAAAACAGAGGGACATTGTTTAATGGGGTTCATGGGTGCAACTACCACAGGCAATTCCACATGCATGGAATTAAAAGCCTTACTACAAGGCTTACAACTAGCAAGGCAACATCAACTCACACCACTGGAAGTAAATGTGGATTATACTGAGGTAATAAAGATGCTCAATAATGATAATCTTCACTACTCATCCTCTTTAATGGAATGCAGGTACTTGCTTCAGCAGCTGGGTAATCCTACCATTACCCACACATACAGGGAGCAAAATTGCGCTGCACATTATCTAGCTCAACACGGTTCGTCTAACCATGCTCATGATTGTACAACAATCTTCGCTCAGCCACCAGATTTTTTGTTACCACAACTACTAGCTGATCAACAAGGTACGACCTACCCGCGCTTAGTCAAATCCACTAGTACGACGGACTTGTTCTACAGACAACCCATTTTGGCATATGACCAATCAGTTGGTCACCATTTTGATAACTCCTTTTGTAATACTGTGCAACTAGCTCCTTGTAATGCTACTGTTTAAATTAATATAAGTTCTTTTGACGACCAAAAAAAAATCTAACACTACATCAACATTACTAGAATATACTATTAAGGAATAGTAGTATTCCAAATTATTTCTAACAATATATCAATATTTAATCATAAAACAGAATATATTATTAGTGTGCTATACTATCAAAGTGTGTTGGTTTGAATATTATATTCTAATATTTATTTTGGTTTGAATACGGTACTCTAATATTTATTTTGGTTTGAATATTGTATTCCAAATCAGAATATTATGGTATGTTTGGGGTCGGGGGAGGATAGTGTGCACGCATGCCTTACCCCTATCTTGTGGAGGTAGAGATGTTGTTTCCAATAGACTCCCGGCTCTGGAAAGCATAGGCACCACAATAAAAAGTAACTATAGTTTTATAAAATAGGTATACAAGGTAAATAAATTTTTTAAATGTATATGAAGTTAACTGATTTTTCCCATAGGTATACCGCGTAGATTCCCCTAATTGGAATTTAGTTTGGCACTGATGCGGTAGCAGATAAACGTTAATCTTGTGGGCCTAAGTTGCGTTAATCTTTCTGGGCCTAAGTTGTTTCTCGATCATGAAGATGTTTAATTTTGATAAAACGTTTAAGATATTAATTTCATTTGAAAATTTAATGTTGTTGACTTCTTAAAAGTTGTATAAGTTGCATAAACTTTTGAGTTTTGAGTCGTGTTAAATATTTGAGATGTTAAGAGTATTATATAAATTGGAACATGACAGTAGTAACAGAACAGTATTTGATTTAAAATAATTGGACTTATGTATTATATTAGTAATAAAGGAGATGTACTAAGTAAAAGCTGAAAAATGTGATTCTGTTTGAATATAAATTTGTGATACAGTAAAGAAAAGACATGTGTGAGGAATAGTATTTTTTCTCAAAAAAAGGAAATTATTTGTCATCAACCACCATTTATAGAAATCTTTTCGTTCCTTGTGCAAAAATTTGCTTCAGCCTTTATTTAATAAGGAAGCACAATCACGTGATGAACATGACTTTTCTATTCAATTGTCCTCTCAAATTAATCTCATTTTCATTCATTTGTTTCAACTTCTACTTACAAAGATGACTTCTATTAATAATTGCTAGTAACAACAACAAAAAACTGTTTTTTTTTAGTTTTTTTTTTTTTT